CCTCCCCTTCCCCCCCTGGAAAAAAAGGAAAAGAGAAAAAAGCCACTGTATGTGTTCACTCACTTCCCGATCAATAGAGCCAATGTGTGACAGTTTCATTGTCGCATGTCGGCTCGAACTATGAGCATGTGAAGATCACTCACCTCATAGTCCTCCTTTTTAAGTCTCTCAATTTTCCAAATGCCCACAATTTGCTTATTTGGTGTGTTGGACAAAGAACACTGGTGACACTACACAAGAATGGCCCTACGGAAAACATTGTTCATGTCGCGCAAGGCTATAGCTATAAGATGGATGAACCCATCTCCCCCTAGCATATACCAGTGGGAGTTGTTCATATATTAGATTAACCCTTATGAGCAGGGGCGTATCTGCCGCGAGGCAAACAAGGCGTTTGCCTGGAGCGGCAGATTCCCTGAGAGCGGCGTTGCTGTGGCTCTCTCCCCTTGATAAATTTTATTTATCAGGGGAAGTGAACCGGAGGCTATAGTAGCGCCGAGGACGGCTTGCTGCGGTGGTGTCCAGAAGGCAGTGGACGGCGGCGCTTTGAGAGAGGGCAATGTATGGGAAGTGAAGTTGTCTCCTTAAATTTCATAAAATTTTGGACTTGCTTTGACTTCGGGATAAAACCCTTCTTGCCATCCTAATGTAGTCTTGAAAGAACTATAAGTTTACCTTAAATGTACATCTTATAGTTCTTCCAAGACTGACCAATTGTTTATTACGTTATGAGGAATGAATGAAAACTGTCAAAGTTTGTTCAAATTATTTTTTTTTTTCATCATCCACTGTTACAATTTTGTTGTTTGTACATATACCAATTGTATATGTACAACTGTTTGAAGAACAGAGAAAAAAAATGACATCTAAATTGTATGTAAAGGCAACTTTATTTTAGCTTTGTATTGAGTTTGGAAGCAATAGACTTTTTTAACCAAATTTGTTTTGGTATTTGTGACCCTATTGGGGAAATGTACCCCTCTATTTGTACTGGTGACCATTGTCACCTATAAAATAAGGGAGGAGAAATCCAATAATTTTGAGTCACCAGAGTAAAAGGGGAGGGAAAAATCCTCCAATGGAATGCCAGTTCCTAATACAACTCTCTAAAATGAGAATCCTGTTCACTTTGGAGAGATGTTTTCTCATTTCCTGCTGCAACTTCTGGACATAAAGTGAAGGGAAATGTCCCAAGTGGGACATAAAATCCATATCAGGTTATTTATTTTATTATCTCTTACCTACTCTATATAAAACAACAGCAAAAAAAGTTTCGGCTTTACATACACTAAAAAAATCTAGTTGACCCCAGCAAAAATGATTCTTCTTCTTTCAGAGTGCAGAGATGTCATTTTGCCTCTCCTCATTGACCAATTAAGTGGACAACTAGATGACAATTCTAACAAACCAGATCATGATGCCAGTGGACAGCTGCTGAGCAATATATTGGAAGCTCTTCAGAATAAGGAGTCGGTGAGTAAAAAAAAAAGGACTTGAAGACGGACTTGGAAAATGACCGCAGTTATAAGTAAAGCAATGAAAAGATGATGGTGCTAGGGAACTTAGAAAACAGAATTTAGACTTTGCATGAACAAATGTTTTTTGCTTATAATTACCCAAGCCTTAAAATTGCGTGCAGCTGTGAAATGGTTAAAAAAAACTACAATACCCTAAAATTCATATAGGCAACACTTTAAAAGCCTTTACCGCTCATCTGTTTAGTGTTAGCAGTGATTGATGGTGCCTGATCTATTGCTCTCATGCCAAAGTTCACGGTGATGTAATGTAACATGTGCCACAATCGTCATTTTCGCACATACGTGGCCCCAACGCATGTTTGTGCTTGTATGTACATGGGAGTGGGGACTTTTAAAAAAACAACAACTTTGTGTTCTTTTTTTTTTCTTATCTGACTTTTATTTATTTTTATTTTTTTAATACTTAACTTTATTGCTATCACATAGGGGGCTAACAAGCTCCCCATGTAATAGCAAGAGGATGTGACAGGTAAGGTCCTGAGACATCAGGGGTCTATTAGACTGCCTAATGCCATCTATGGTCCCTAAAGAAGCTGATGAAGCAGAGATCTGCTTCACCAGCTTGTTCTCCAGCTACAGCAGTTGGAGAAATGGCAGGCTGAAACCAGAAGTGATGTAATACACGTCGTTTCCAGATTCAGTGATCAGAGGGGAGATCAGCTGGTGGAAGTGTGGTGATCTCTCTTCGATCCAATTAAACAGGCCCGCCATGCAGGTCCCGGGCCCGCGCAGGAGGCAGCTGAGCACACTCCCTGGCACCATACAAATGATCAGGCAGCTCTATAACTGCCTGATCACTTGTATTTAAATAGCCATTGCCAGCTGTTTAAAACGGTGCCTAGCAGCAGCTGTGAACTTACTATAACCACTTCAGGATGCCTCTGTTTATTTACGTACGGCGGTCCTGAAACAGTTAAAGTGTATTGAAACCCAAGAACAAAAATACTGATTGATTCTGCAAGAAATTCAGTAGTTTTGTAACTTCCTGTGTAATTAGCCTTCCCAGCTATCTTCTGTCAACTACAAAACTTACCCCCTCTATGTAATGAAGATGAGAAATGGAAGAGCTGTTTGTATGTTCCATCGGTTCATTCTACTTGGAGAAATAAAAGGGGCTTAGCTACTCTGAGTTACATTATGCTATCCATTTGCACTTGCCCTAATTTAAAGAGACTTTTTTTGGGGGGTGGGGGGACAAACTGCTAGATGTGATCCCTCATACTTGCTGTAGCCTCCCAAACCCTCCTGTTGTGTCCAATTCTCAGAAAAATCAGATCAGCAAAGCTCTATTACTTCTTGAAGGTTCCAATGCTTGCCTCCCCATTTTCCTTCTGCACATTTCTATTGACCAGTTAAGCCCAATAAGAATGTGTAGGGGCTCAGCTACATGACAAGCTCCTGATGATTGCCTGTAAGAACCAAAATTGCCCACCAGCATGGCCTGAGATGCGGCCATGACAGGAAGGTTTTGGAGGCAGCTATAGGTATGTGCACCTCTAGGTGTCTGCACTTTACATTCAGCAGTTTTCCCCCCTTTCCCCTCAGTGGCAGAGTCCAATTAATAAAAGCCATATTGTTTACTTGTTTTATTTGCATAATAGATTTTAAGTGGAATAGATGTAGCCAAATTGTTCATGAAGTCTATGCAGTTGTCTGGTTGACTAATTCTTTTCATATCCACCCAGGGGGACACGACACACCACATCCAGCTCATCATGGAGCGCCTGCTGCGAAGGATAAACCGAACGGTGATTGGAATGAGCCGGCAGTCACCACACATAGTAAGTAGACTGGAATTCTTGGCAGTAGAATGAGCGTTTGTACCCATTTGTTAAAGGCTTTAGAAATTGTGCCTTTATATACTGTATGTTAATGCTGTGCAGAAAAAAAAGTGTCTGTACCAGTGGCAACTCTAGGAACAATATATAGGAGGGGCACATAAGATACCACAGTCACAAATGGGGGGGAGGGGGGGGGGGGACTAATAATTGGATGTGGGGGGCATCCGCCCCTGGAGTTTGCGAAATGTAGTCCAATGCCTAGGGTTGCCACCTTTTCTTCATGTGAAACCCAAACACTTTAGTGCTGCAGGGCAATTTTTTGGGAGAGTTTACAAGATTTACAGGATTTCTTTGGGAGAATTTACAGGAGAGAGATTTTTTCTGTTATCAGTGTAAAGAGAGGTATGTAGGGGAAGGAAGATCAGGGTACAAAGAGGTATGGAGGGGAAGGAAGATCAGTGTACAGAGAGGTATGGAGGGGAAGGAAGGTCAAGGTACAGAGGGGAAGGAAGGCCAGTGTACAGAGAGGTATGGAGGTGAAAGAAGGTCAGTGTTACAGAGGGGTATGGATGGGAGGGAAGGTCAGGGTACAGAGGGGTATGGAGGGGAAGGAAGGCCAGTGTACAGAGGGGTATGGAGGGGAAGGAAGGAAGGTCAAGGTACAGAGGGGAAGGAAGGTCCAGTGTACAGAGAGGTATAAAGGTGAAAGAAGGTCCAGTGTACAGAGGGGTATGGAGGGGAAGGAAGGTCAGTGTACAGAGGGGTATAGAGGGGAAGGAAGGCCAGTGTACAGATAGGTATGGAGGTAAAAGAAGGTCAGTGTACAGAGGGGTATGGAGGGGAAGGAAGGTCAGGGTACAGAGAAGGAAGGTCAGGGTAGAGAGAAGGAAGGTCAGGGTACAGAGGGGTATGGAGGGGAAGGAAGGTCAGGGCACAGAGGGGTATGGAGGGGAAGGAAAGTCCGACTCTGTACTGTTCAGAGGAGTTAGTCAGACCTTTTCTTTCATTGTGTAAGTCACTAGAAAAATGACAACTAGAAGCTGCATGACTTCTGTTGTAGCTCAGACACTATTATTGCAAACAGTTTTTATTCCCAAGGCCTAGTGTCCGTGGAATGAGGACACTAAGTGGCAATTGGTGAGGGATCTGGCAGTTGATGAAATGATGGTGTCTTTACGTTTTTCCCCCTAGGGTCGTTTTGTAGCATGTATGACAGCTGTCCTCAGACAAATGGAGGATTACCACTATGATCATTACATCAGCACATTCAGGACTCGACAAGACATCATAGTGAGTCTGCAACACCGTCAGCTGCTTGTTCTTTATGTGCCATTACAACACACTGATAGTATTCCCTTTCTTCCTTCTACAGGATTTCCTGATGGAAACCTTTATCATGTTTAAGGACCTGATTGGAAAACGGGTATTCCCAAGGGATTGGATGCTGATGACAATGACACAAAACAAGTGGGTGACTGTTATGTCCTGGTTCCTACCTCCTAAGGTGTTCCGCATTGGGCTGCTCAACCTAACAGTTGGGTGGCCACATTTTTTCACTGTTTAGGTTCAGTCTGTAAAATCTAAAGATTCAACCCCTGAAGGGAGCTGCTGCATTTGTTACATTAGTAATGAAATCACATGCGGGAACAGACATCATACAATTGAATCAAGATCCCAACAGGAAAAAAACTGTGATTCATGAGTCAGTCTGCTCCCCATTTGGCAAGCTAGAGATGTGCAAATATAAAGGGAGATAACTGCTTGGTGTCTATAACTGACCCACTACTGATTCTTTCTTGAAGAAGTGAATCTGCATTAGACAGTTAACACCCTCCTTTCGTCTTCTCATGGAGAAGAGTGAAGGATCTCATTGAGTGATGAGTGCTGCCATCATCACATTGACTTATCACCCCTAACTAGCCCAATCATTATACGAGCTTGGCTTTACACCCAGCATGGCTCTCCTCCCAAATAACCCCAGTCTTTCAGTGAGCACACACTCTGGAGGGGGCCCATTCCTTTCTCTGTGTAAGCATGAAGCATCCATGAATCGCAGAGTTTTTTTCAGTATAAATTAAAATCTGTGTTGTTGCATTTGTTGTCATTGTGGTGTTATCCCCTGACTGTCACAAGTGTGCTCACATTAGTTGCATCTTTTGCATTGCATTCCACTTGAACGCTTTGTACACTGGGTCTCAATGTAAAGCACAAATAGTGGCCCACTAGCACAGACTCGTATAATGAAAGGCACATTAGTAAGCGTCTCATATATTTCACTTCCAGGGTGTTTCTCCGTGCTATGAACAGGTTCTCTACTGTTCTCAACAAGTTCTTCCTTGATCAGGCCAACTTTGAACTACAGGTGAGATTATGGACAAGGTAATCAAATGTAAAATGATCTTACTGCCAGGCGTGTGTTTGGTAGCATGTTGGCTTACTGGGAACCAAATAAAAGCCAAAAGAGAGGACTGTAAGGACAGTAAATGTAAAATGTTTTATATGTATATATAATGTTCTTGGGAAGTGTAGGACTTTGAAGTAGGTTCAAAAACCTGAAAAGTCTAAACGACCACAATAGATTTGTTGCCCATAACCAGTTAGGAATTGTGTTTAATGTTTCCATAAATTAAAAGTTAAAGTCTGATTGGTTGATGTTAGCAACATTTTATTTTTCCGTTTTCATGCATAGACCACTTTGTCCCCTAAGCTAAGCATATGGCAGGTGGGACGTGGGCATGTGATCTTTTTGATCTTGAGCATTCTATCATGCATCACCCACAATATGGAACTCACTGTCATTGGCTGGCTGCGAGGAACCCTCTCTGGATGTTTCTAAAAGCAGACTTGGGAAACATCTGTTCACCCAGGCTTATAGCAACACCTGAAAAGTCCTTCTCTTTAAAGATCCCAACACCAATTTGATAAACGCCGTTTTTTTCGGTATCGAGTACCGATATTTTTTTTTTCGGTACTCGCCGATACTGAATACTGGAAGTCCCATTAAGGAAGCCAGGCGGAATGTAAAGACTCGCCACCTGGCTTCCCGATAAGCAGGTGAAGCCGTCTCCTTGCTCCCTCGTCACCAGGTGATGAGAAGGCATTGAGCCGGCTTTCTGGCCAATCAGGAAGCTGGTGGGGGGGAGGGGAAGGGGGGGGGGTGGTGGTAATGACATGTCGCCTGGCTTCTTGATTGGCCAGCTTTTCGACCAATCAAGAAGCCAGATGGCAAGTCATTATACGATGCCCGGTAACCTGATTGGCCGGGAAGCCGGCTCCATGCTACCTCATCACCAGGCGACGAGGGAGCAGGAAGCCGGGGGGCAGGTAATGACTCGCCATCCGTCTTCCTGATTGTCCAGCTTCCAGGCCAATCGGGAAGCTGCCCGGCTTCCTGATTGGCTATGGAGCCGGCTTCCCGGCCAATCAGGAAAGCCGGAAGTTCGGGTATCAGGCTAAGCATCAGAGCATTTGGGGCGAGTATGAGTACTCGCCCAAATACTCGGTACCGGCACAAATACTGATACTAGTCTCGGTATCAGTGCATCACTAATTATTGCTATTATTATCTGACAGCTGAACAGCATTTTTTTCAAACGACTGTAACATGTGCACCCTGCTGTTGCCTGAGTAGGCAGTGGGTTTGCAGACACCTGTAGCATCAGTTTTATTTTATCTTTGGAGAAGCAATTTTCCCAGAAATGATCAGTACCATAGACATGAAAATTGTTTCCGATTGAACCATCATAATAGTTCTACGTGTACTGTCAAAGCAGTGATTTTGAAGTTCCCAAAGTGCCGCTACCATATGGAAGGCTTCTTCTCCCACAGATGCCTGGGAGTTAGCTCATCTAAGCTGAATGACTAAGGCCCCTTGGTGGACTGAAACATGTTAGCAATTTTTGTAGCTGCTTTTATGCCTTTTTAATAAAGAGACGCCATTGAGAGGATTCCTACTAGTGCCAGCTCCTTTCCACTTCACCTTAGCTGAATGTGCTTTGGACTGTATATATTGACCAGATTCCCGGTTAAAAGCTTGGTCATGCCTCCTGCACTGAGCTGTTCGCCCATCGTTGTTATGGGAGGCATTAGTAGCCAAGAATGGGGCTGAGGTAATGGAACTTTAGGGTAGGCCTGCTAACCTGCCAATAGATATGTGAGTATTCAGAATAATGGGCACGCTGCATAGAGAATAATGCATAATAGTGTGCCTTCTTATTACCCAAGTGCTCATGTTTATGTGCCATACAGACCAATGACAGATTTATTTTGAGGATCTTTATTATCACAGTGGGAAAACCTTCATGCCTTTACACCAAACTTTTATTTTTATTTTTTTAAATGAGGATCTTCAGCAATTGTATAATGCCCTCAGATGTGGAGTATTTCCTAGCTTGTACCCAAATCATCCATATTGTGCAACAACCACATTACAAGCCCTGATCATAATAAAGAAAGGGGGATGTGAATGTGCACAACTAGCCAAGTGTTTAGAAGACAGAACTTTAATTTAAAGGCGTCTAGCAGGCAATGTTTTAACCTCCTTTTTTTTCTCTCCCAGCTCTGGAATAACTTCTTTCACCTGGCCGTGTCACTTTTAACCCATGAATCGCTGCAGCTGCACACCTTCTCCCAGGAGAAACGACACAAAATTCTATGCAAGTAAGAGATTGTACAAGTATGTGTCTGTCTGCGTGTGCTTTTCAGGGAAATGTCCTTGTACTGAGGTTTTCTTTCATGTCTGTGCATAAGTAAGTCTTAAGCTTTAAGAAATCAGTCTTAAGCTGTACATACATAGACAGAATGGACTGTCTGTAAGACTTGAGTCTGATCCTACACAGGACATATCTGAACAATCTAGCACATAGCTGCTTTGCCAATTTCCAGATCATCAGAGACATGGAGAAGTTTTAGTTACCATTGAGGATGCAGCAATTTCTTCTGTTTAATATCAAAATACAATATAAAGGGACAAATTATTATTGGAGTTGTTTGCTAATAATCAGTCTATATATGGCTAGGTTCTCCCTCACTTCTGAATGATAAATGTCACAGCTTATAGTTTATTTAAAGCCAATACTTTTAGTTTATGTCTGTGAAGGTTCTCATTCATCCAGGTCATGGTATGACTGTAAAAAATAAATCAAGGCAACTGAATTGAGAAAGCTGGTCGGATGTCCAGTGAAACATCTTCAAGAAAAATACAGCAAATCCAGTTGCCTCGGTTGATTTTTTTACAGATACTTTTAGTTTAGTTTGGAGTGGGGAATGGTTAAACTCCAAGTGTTTGTATGATGAAAACACATGTATATGGAAGGTCTGGGTCATGGCAGTGAAAATACACATTTATCTGGATGGTCCAACTTCGGGTTAATCAATATCACACCATAACCTACACCATGAAGTCAAAAGGACACTCCAAGCAGCTCCCTGAAAAGTGATTGAAAAGCATAAATCAGGTGATGGATACAAGAACACTTCTAAGTCACTGAATATCCTTTGGAGTAAAGTCAATTCAAACATTAAGAAATGGAAAGAGTATGGCGTAACTGGAAATCTGCATAGAACAGGCCGTCCACCAAAAGTAGTGACCATGCTAGTGACAGAGGCTCCAAAAAGACTTATGACCACTAAAGACATCGCAGGCTCCAATAGCTGCTCAAGTGCTTCAACATTCACAGCTTTATGGGAGAGTGGCAAAAAGGAAGCCACTGTTAACTAAAATGTGCATGACATCTTGCCTACAGTCTGCCAGAAGTCTCCTGAGAATTATTTATTTTACATTGTATTTTGCTTTATTCATTCTACCCTCTACCCTCGCAAGCCTTCCAGGGCCTGCTGCAAAGAAACATCCCCATAGCTGGTACCTGGAAGAAGGTTTTATGGCATGATAAGACCAAAATCAGACTTGTTAACCACAAGACTAGACACCATGTTTGGCATAAGTCAAACACTGCACATCATCATAAATGCTCCATCCCCACAGTGAAGCACGGTGCTAGCAGCATCATGCTATGGGGATGTTTCTTTGCAGCAGGCCCTGGAGGGCTTGTGAGGGTAGGATGAATAAAGCAAAATACAATGTAAAATGAATAATCCACTGTGATTAAATGTTCAAGTGCAATATAACATGAAAGTGAAAACCGTCCACCTCTCCAATTCCAAGGCCACGTTTAGCAGGCAGGCAAAAATGGCATGCCTCTGCCTCCAACGTATATTTTCTACTCACGAACAAGCCGCATTTCCATGGATCCTCATAGATTAAGACAACTTTTTATCGATGTAACAAATACATTTTGTGAAACAACATCCCATGTCTCACGCATTTCACCGATCTGGCTTAATCACAGAGCTGCCTCTATGCACTGTATATTGATGCTGCATCCTAATGGCCAGGCTTCATTCCACCCAGCAATATAAACCACAGGGGATCTAGGAGGAGGTAGAACCTTGCATAGCTATACAAAGGGATCTGAAGTAGCTGGGAGATGTTCAGTGAATTTTAGACCTTTTTCATTTGTGTTAACATGAATTGTATAGTCTGCATCCAACTGTGGATCTTTTTCCTGCAGGTACGGAGATATGCGAAAGGAGATTGGTCTGAAGATTAGAGATATGTGGTATAATCTAGGTGAGATATCCATACACATCTCCTTCGCTATAAACCTGCTTTCCTTAACGAGAAGCTTTACTGCTTTAAGTATTCTTCTGTTTCACAATAAATACTGTAAGCTTGTTCAGGCAGAGTTTTTGCTTCTATTTTGTCTTATTATTCCACTATAAGACTACATTTTTGTGGACATCTCTCCTAAATATTGAGTTCAGGTCCAAAAACACATGGTTTGGTGTGGAGTAACTTGAGTAACCTGCACAGGGCCCTGAACTTAGTCCTATTGAATACCATTGGAATGGCAAATGTGAGCCGACTCGTCTTGCTCAACATCATTTTACGACCTTACAAATGCTCTTTTGAGCGAATAGTGAATATCTAGTAGAAAGCCTTCCCAGAGGAGTAGGGGCTGTTGAAGCTGTAAAGGAGAAGCCAACCTTACAAATGCTCTTTTGAGCGAATGGGCAAAATTCTAACTGGTACACTCCAAAATCTAGTAGAAAGCCTTCCCAGAGGAGTAGAGGCTGTTGAAGCTGTAAAGGGGAAGCCAACTATGTATTATTGTCTGATTTTAAAATGAGGTGTTGTTCAAAAAAAATCCCATATTGTTGTGATAGTCAGATGCCCCCAAACCATTGGCCATACAATGTATGTTTTGTTTACCAACTTTGTGAACTAGTCTTTGAAACATTGTATGTATCTGATTATCTGAACTACTATCCCTTGCCATAGCTATTGGTTTGTACAGTGCAATGCTATAGGAATAGTAATGAAAAATATAATAGTTGCTAGAAAAATAAACATTAATATAAAGAACTGAATTGATATTGCATAGTGTGTTGCTTTAGCTGGCACTGCCCATGGCATCTAGTACATGTCCGTTGTTCCACCAGGCCCTCACAAGATTAAGTTCATCCCTTCCATGGTGGGACCAATCCTGGAGGTGACTCTCACTCCAGAACCAGATTTACGTAAAGCAACAATTCCCATCTTCTTTGACATGATGCAGCATGAATATAACTTCAGTGGGAGCGGCCATTTTCACATGGTAAGTAGCATCATGGGTTATATGTTATCACTCAGACACAAAGATCTTTATTTATTAACAAATAGGTTGAAATCCAAAGTTAATTTACACACCACAAAGAATCAGAAATGACCTTGTCATTCACTGAGAGGCAAAAGACATCTGGAGGTATAAGCCCTGCCTTATAGGAGGTTGGATATTAAGAAAAATGTTGCTTCTTTCCTATGAGGGTATAAGGCTGCAATAGGAACTGCCAATCAGAAATTGGTGTCTGTAGGCTGTGGGCAATGTAGACCATTGATCCATGTTTTTATTTTTATTTTTTTTCACCTTGCCTTTTCATTTTTTTTACTGAAGAATGAAGTCAGAGCTGCTTCTTCTGAAGCGGTTCTCACTAGTGCTTTTTTTCCAGTTAAAGCAGGATGTAGCCGCTGCTTCTGTGTTAGCCTAAAGTGTGTATTTGTGGTACTTTAGTTAATAGCTTCCTGCTCAGCATCACACCAGATCTGCTGATATAGTACCCCTGCTAACAGGGCCGGATTTCCCACAAGGCCAACCGAGGTCCGGCCTCGGGGCAACAGGGAGTAGAGGGGCAGCAGGGATGGGGAATTCCTATCTCCCGACGCCCAGCATGTAGTTTCCTACATTTAGCCCTGCTTTAAGCAAGCAGGGTTAAATGTACAGCGGGGAAGCCGCCGCTTGTTTTGGACAAGGGATATAGGCGATGATGCCAAGATCACTTGTATGCAGCCTGCATACAGGGGGGTGCATTGAGGAACCTGGCATTGGGGCTGCAGAGAGAGTAAATCCGGCCCTGCCTGCTAACCCAGAAGTGTTATATGCTGAAGAGCTGAGGCTACAACATGGGAAGGTCCCCGGAAAGGCGAGTATAACAGCTTGTCGTTTGCAGGAAACTGCTATTTAGATTTTTTGACAGGGTTGTTTTAGCATACGTTTTTGTGAACATAGGAGTACAGTTCCTTCCTGGCAGGGCATTGTGACCTCTGGCTGAGAAGAGAGCATAGGGGAAGGCAGATCACATTTTTCCAGTCAATCCAGTGTTCTCAAATATTTGCTAGTTTGTCCTCAATAGCTGTGTAACCTGGCACAGAAACCTAGGTTGTCCTCTCTTCTCAGCTGTAGAGGTACCTAATGTAATATGGTTTACTAAAGCATTGGTCTCGTGAAATAATCTGTTATATGGTATACCAAAGCACTGTTCTCATTTGACAATGTTTGTTCTGCAGTTTGAGAATGAACTTATCACTCGTCTGGATCAAGAGGTAGAGGGTGGCCGAGGGGACCGACAGTACAAGGACCTCCTAGAGAAGCTGTGAGTTTTGTCTTTCAGGTTGCAGATCATTGCACATCCTATTTTTATTAAAAATGTTGCCTGTGGAAATCACTTACATGTATGTACAGTGTATATATATATATACAAGTTACCTTCATATCCCCATCTGCTCTTTTTAATTTCCATTGTTCACTGTCTGCAGCTTATTGGAAAATTGCCGGAAACACAAGTATCTGTCTAGCTCCGGGGAAGTTTTCACCCTCCTGGTCAGCAGCCTCCTGGAGAACCTCCTCGATTACCGAACCATAGCCAATGATGAAAGTGAAGAGAACAGGATGAGCTGCACCGTCAATCTGCTGGTATAAAAATATCCACTGACACAAAATAGGTGCACCCCTATTACTGCAGAGATTATCCTTCCTTCCTGTTTGTGAAAGAGAATAAAGGCTCTGTGCACTCAGAAGTTGAATTCCAATTCAAGATGGAGACTAGTGGGCCAGAGTATAGCTGGCGTATTGTATCTGTTGAGAATGTAAGCTGTGCGATCTCCCTGCTATAGGTCCCACCTTGACGTTTGGTATTTTCACCCATTTTATGGTGTTCCCACTCCTGCTTCATGGCCCATGGTAGGAATTAAATTGAAGCATCAGCAGGAAGAGTGGAAACCCCAAATAATTGCAAGTGTATAGGCCTCGAAAACTGAGATTTAACATGAGCGCAGTCCCTGAGCGCAGAAGAAACATAGAAGGTGGTTAGACTCCCCCAACCCCACCCACATGGTTTAAGCTAGGAACTCATGCATTAAAAAGGCAACCTCTCTAAAGCACCAGTGCTCAATGCTGACCGTCATCAAGCTCTTTGGCATCCCCAGTGCCCAGTAGAGAGTGGATTATGTGCCTATTCCCAGGAGGGGAATGAAGATGGTTGCCACCATCAATGAGGAACTGGTATAAGAGGTGCTATGGGCTCCTAGCCAGTTCAACATGTGTACATTTATGAAAGAAGTTTAATGTTCCTAATTTAACAGGATCCTGTGCTATACCAATCTGTCCTTCACCATGTTTGTTCTACTCTCTGCATCACAAAATGGGGAGTGTAAACATTCCCATTCCTATCTTTTAAACTTTGTTTGGCAAGTAAGGAGGGATCCTGTCATGCAAAACGTTTTTTAGAGTGCAGAGAACTCAGAGAAGGTATCTCCTGAAAGGTCATTGTGGCATTGCTGACTATACTATAGGACCATAGTAATAGTTCCATCGCTGCCCTTGTTTGAACCAATACCAAATACTTTTGCAGTGAGTGGTGGAAACTTTGCTGGGATCTCTCTTGCTTCTCATCCAAAGGTTTAGAAATGCGAGAGAAGGAAGCTTTCACTCTACTTTAGAGATTCTGGCAGCAGGGGAGACATTGTACAGGACAAATTGTCCCAGCTTTAGGTCCTGGAAGGCAAATATTAGCAAAATTAAAAATCTAAGATGTCTTGTGTTTTTTTATGAACTCTTTCATACCTTGCATGCATGGTGAACTGGGTGTGGATCCAAAACCCACAATACCCTAAATACAAGAATGGGTTGGCCACCTACTTTCTACCCATAGTGAGCAGGCAGTAGTCCCTCCTTACTTTGTAACATGCTCTCTTTTTTTTAGTAATACCTCTAAATGCAACCCCCAAATTCTGAACATAACCCGGGGACTGCACACTCCCTGTCCCCCCTATGCCATGGGTATACCAACCCAAATACACAGTGTGCCAGGCATGTATTGTGGGGAAAGGGCAAACTTCTTTTTTCTTTCTTTTTTATAACAAAAAAAATAAAAACAGTTGACATTAACTCTTCCGCTGCCTACACATTGTTGATATTCACATCTCTGCCCTGGCTGTGAATTACACATTCACTAGGGAAGAGCGGCGGCACAGACACATGATGGTCTCAGCCTTTAGTCATTCAGAGCGTATGCACTATTGACCACTTTTTACACAGAATCTTACTGCCAGCATTCCTGCGTAAATTATTATGCACGTGTGCATGAGGCCTTAGACTTACCAGCGCTGGCCCTTTGCCACAGCCATGCCATCACTAAATGTAAAGTGCTGTGCAAACTGTTGGCGCTTTATAAATCATGTATAATAAGACAAATGATTTGAAAATATTTTGAGATCATGATATGCAGTTAATGATCATAATAAAAATGTGGAGGCAGGTGTATTAAAACCTACACATAGCATTTAAGAGGAACTTTAGCCATTTATTTAAAATGAGAACAAATACACCTTTAGAAATGTTTAGTAATGACAATCTACAAACATAACTTTTGCATAATTGCAGGATTTTTATTCTTTGCATTCCTTATTTCTCTTTTCCTCCCCATTCATCTCACATTGGCCATTTTTTACTAAGGGCAGATTACTAGATCTCCCTTTACTTCCTGGAACTCTTGCACATGTGACTAGGACATGTAACTATGCACAACCTCCTCGGGGCGAGGAAGATACCTTTTCCTGAGATGAGATTTCCCAGCAATGCTCTGCTGATGTAATCTTCCCAGGATTCAAGGATTGGGCACAGATTATATCACTAATGCCCAAGAGGACCAGGAAGTGAAAAAACAGTGATTGTCAGTAAAAGAAAATTGTGTTTAAATAATGAATTTAAGATGATATTATATCAGCATGCAGAGCTGCAGGCTGAGGTGATTCTTAGAGAAAGGGGGTAAAGGTCCACTTTAACAATAGTCTACAAGTGTGTTGCATTTGATAACGGCATTTTTTTGTGTATTAACAGAATTTTTACAAAGAAAAGAAAAGGGAAGATATTTACATTCGGTTAGTATTATGCACTTGGATAATAATGTGTATAGGCTATGTAAAAGGTGCGCCTGGTCACAGTGTGTGTCTTGTCTTCAGGTATGTGTACAAGCTGAGGGATCTGCAGCTGAGCAAGGAAAATTACACAGAGGCAGCGTATACCCTACTGCTCCATGCTGAGCTGCTGCAGGTGGGAAATCCCTAAGACTTTTCTATGTGGGACCTTTGATAAATATAACGCATTTCCACTTTTATGTCATTACTGATTGTATTGTGTGTTGTCTCCCTCTAGTGGTCAGATAAACCATGTGCACCTCACTTGCTACAACGAGACAGCTATACCGTCTACACACAGCAAGAGCTGAAGGAAAGACTCTACCTGGAGATCATATCCTTCTTCGACAAGGGAAAAGTGCGCTGATTTTTTTTTTCTTCCTCCTGAAGCATGCATGTGATGATCTAAACCACTTGTTTCTCATTCATTGTCTGTCTTCTTCCTGCCACAGATGTGGGAACAGGCAATCATACGCAGCAAAGAGCTTATAGAGATGTATGAGAACCAAATCTTTCACTATGAGGCCCTGAGCGACCTGCTGGTGAGTGATTCTGTGTCTGTACCTATGTTAGTATTGCTGATATTTCTTGATCAGATGATCTCTGCTTTAGGGGCCGGATCAGTCAGTGTGTAAACTCTGATCCACCCCATTCACATGAACCACATGACCAAATGCCTAGGAAGAAATTTGCAGTCGGACTTTCTCCAGGAAAGACAATCTTATCAGCTTTTTTAGTCAGAGAAAAATAGTTGTTAGTTGATATTCCCATATAATGTTTTCTCATGTGTGTCCTTTTACCCCAGCCAAAGAGTCCCATGTAGAGTTGCATTGGTCCAGACGAAGCTTGCACCAGTTATGACTCCAGGCGGTGCTTCTAATGACCACAACGGCTGGCGCCATGTATAGTCATCAAGGAGTAAAAGTCAACAGTTCTCTAACAATGCAATTTCATGATTTATTGTGAATACATTATTGCTCATATCTCCTGATCACATGATCTACTTGAGGGGAGGATCGGTCATTGTGTGAACGCTGATCCACCCCCAGCCACAAGGACCACATGACCAAATGCCTAGGAAGAAACTTGTAGTAGAACTTTCTCCACGAAAGGCGATCCTATCAGCTCTCTCTTTTAGGATGAATTCTTTCTTAATGTATAGTTATGTCATTCAAGCCATGTACCTCCAAAAACATTTCCAACCTGTCCAAAAGCATGGACAACATTGTTGCCTTGCACTACATTGGAAAAAGTTCCTGCATGCTGCATTTATAGTAGAGTCCAGGGCCATCAGTATAATGAGGCTGCCTGAGGCGGCCGGAGGGGTGGCCATAGCATCCCAGGTTGCTAAAAGCTCCTAGCAACCTGTGATGTTCTGTCTGACTTACCACCCTGATCACTGATGTCAATGGTTGCCAGGGAGCTGAGCGGGACACTGTGGCTGGCATTCCGCCAAGCTCCTGGCAACCAGTGACACCAATGAGCTGGGCAGGACCGGACAGGGAGCCACTAACAGCACCGCTCTAACACAGCCACATGTCCCACCACATCTGCCCCCCTTCCCGGATGACCTCTATCAGCAAAGCAACCCCTAAACCCCCATCTGGGAAGCACTATCAGCAGCATCCCTGAACCTCCACCACCCCACTCTAAAGCCTCAGGTGGCATATACTGTAGGGTAGGGACTGCCCTGATAGAATCAATAGAATGGCATAATTCAAAAATGCTTTTAGCCCTGGCTAAAGGTTGGTACAGGCTGCATGAGGGAGCTAGCTTGCATAAATGCAAGAGAAATAAACTGTTGCTATGAATGGTGTCCCCATTGTGTGGCTGGGAGAGCCTCTTAAAATAGTCATCTTGCGTGAAAGTTAATTTAGGTTGTTTATATGAATGGAAATATCAGATACAACCAATGCAGGTGGGGGAATTTGGACTTCTGGATGAGGCCTCTGACTTAGGGCTGGGTAAAACCATAAGTGTCATTGTGTCAAGATATTTCCACTAAACATTCTCCTGGCCCTGCTCATGCCTATCATAAGTGGCCAAATTATGTCTGCATTGTTACACTTTATTCCTCAGCTAGTGGTAGTTCAGTTCCTATGAGTGTCGGGAATATACACCATCGTGTATATCCACATAGGTAGCACGAAACACCTTCATTCTTCAGCTAGTAGCAGTTGGTCACATTCAACTGGATCTATTCTGTATTGTTGAAGATGTTTCATACCTTATCAGAGCCACTTCTTCAGTTCCTATGAGCATTGGGAGCATACACCATCATTTTATATCCACATGGCTTGCACGGACGCCTTAATCCAATCACCATGGAATCTGTCAAGGCAAGAAATACATTTCCGACATAGAGGGTAAATTCTACAGGTCAAGTCTTCCTGCAGTCAGGGGCGTCCCGAGGCCGGGTGACACCCGGAGCGGAGAAGGGGTGACACCCCGACGTGAAATCATCGCGCATGCGCGGCCATCTTATTGACTCCTGCCGGCGGCCATCTTGGTGATGGACGCCGGCAGAGAGAGGAGTGAACGTTCACCCAGCGGGATGACGTATACCGCCGCCTCTCCTCCTCTCTCCTGACACTGTCGGGCTCTCGGCCCATGACCGAGTGCCCGACTTTTCCTTGGCGGGTGACACCAAATAACTTTCAATCATTTTGGTGTCCCCCTTCCAATGGTCCCCCCCCTTGCGACGCCACTGCTACACCTTACAAAAAGAACCCTCTTTCCAGGACAGGGAGGTGCACGTTTTGGACCAAGAAACAACTGGATCACAACAGACATGAAAAAGGCCATCTGTATCAAACTGAAACAACCATCCCTTAACAGGGGTGGGAGACCTCAGCACCTTCTGTCTTCTACATACTGTATAATGCCTTTTTAACATCTGTACCCCAGCAATTTGACAACAATTCACACCTTCGGCGTTGTGAATAGAAGGATTAAAATCTATGCAGACTTCCTGACACCAAGGATGGGATTATGTAACAAGAACAGGATGGTTCCACAACTTTCACACCTCGCATTCTGTTCTTGGACATTCAGCTTCTGCCTTGGCACTTTCCATGGTTATTGGAGCAGTCTCTGCTACCTATGTGAGTGTAAATGCTGGGAATATGTTCCTGACACTCAATAGAACTGAAGAAGTGGCTTGGATAAGTTAAGAAACATCTTTAACATTACGGAACAAGTCAAGTTGAATGTGACCAAATGATACTAGCTATACCATAACCTGGATAAATGGAACCTTCATGACCTGGAACCTTCACAGACATCTTCATTCTGTACTTTTGTTTTAAATTGCCATTAACTTATGTTTATATCTGTAGAACAAGCAAGCCACTTTCTACCAGAACATCATGCGATCCCTGAGACTACAACCAGAGTATTTTGCTGTGGGATACTACGGCCAAGGATTCCCATCTTTCCTGAGGGTATGAAAAATGATTCAGATAAAAGTAGTGTCCGTAATTCCCTCCTCATTTCCATTATGTTGTTGGTTACCATTCCCCTGTAATGTTTCCTCTTGTGTGTACTTTTACTACATCCAAAGAGTCCCATGTAGAGCTGTACTGATCCAGACGGTGCTTGAACCTCAGTGACCTCAGGGGGCACTTGTAATGACTGCAATGGATGGTGCCGTGCATAATTCGCGTCATAGAGTAAATAGTCTCCAGCTCTCAAACAATGCATTTTCATGATTTATTGTGAATACATTGTCACGCTGTCATTTTGGGTCCTTGCAGGGTCCTCATCCTCAGTGCAAATAAGTGTCTTCGCCGAGTTGCCCTGAAGAACAGGACCACAAATTGTTGGCAATTTAAACTTTGTGACATTATGTATTCACAATTAATTTATTTTTGCTATTTGACTTTGTTACCATAGTACACCCTTCCAGTGGTTTGGTTATAAAAATCAGAGTAGAGTTGAAAAGTGGTGTCACCCCCTTAGCAACCAGCCAAGTGTTCATCAACATTCATTTGGAGAAATTACAGCTTTGATTTGCTGGGTTCTATGGGCACCACCTACACTTTCCTCAGCACTAGCTATGAACAATAGGACCCTTCTAACTTTTCAGCTATTGTTGCAACTAGGGCTGCAACAACTAATCGACATAATCGATTATAATCGATTATTGAAAAAGTTGTCAACTTTTACAATAATCGAGTAATCGGCTTCATGCAACATACTTGTATGCAATATCGTATTTTCTGGGATTCAGACCTTCTAGAAAGTAGAGAGAAACAAACTGTTTCTTTTTTAAAATAGAGAATTAAAGGGTCTCAGTTGCATTCATTTGCAGATGCATTGCTTGAAGGTTCCTTTGTGTTTCACTGTCCTGCTATACTAGACAAGGACCCACAAAGAAACCTACAATATATAGCATTAAATTGGGAGCAGACTTCATCTGCCTGTAAGGTTAACAATGGAAAAGCACCATGATAATCTGCTGTGCTGTATATTTAGATAACCCATAGTGCTCTGGAAATCCTATGTCATTTATCTTTTTTAATGTTTATAATGTTTTACACATGTTTAATGTGCAAAACAAAGAAACGATATTCTAATTATTCGAGTTTCACCTGTATATTACACACACTGATACACATTCAGTTGTGTGTGTGTGTATATATCTATATCTATATAGATATATACACAAACATATACAACAATCAGCCATAACATTGTGAGCACTGTGAGTGGTGAAATGGCACCTGGAAGTGGATGAGATAAATTAGGCAGCAAGTGAACCTTTTGTCCCTGAAGTTGATGTGTTGGAAGCAGAAAAAATGGGCAAGCATAAGGACTTAGGTGACTTTGATAAGGGCCAAAATGTGGTGGCTAGACGATCTGTTCAGAGCAACTCCAAGTCTGCAGCTGTTGTGGGATTTTCCCGGTCTGCAGAGGCCACCACCAAATGGGGTCCAAAGAAGGAAAACCAGTGAACCAGCAACAGAGTCATGGGCGATCAAGGCTCATTGATGCACTTGGGGAGCGAAGGCTGGCCCATGTATTCCCTGATGGCAGTGGCTTCTTTCAGCAGAATAGGGCACCCTGCCACACTGCAACAATAGTTCAAGAATGGTTTGAGGAACACAACAACGATTGTGTCCAACGATTTCAGTCCAATTGAGCATCTGTGGGAAGTTTTTTGGAAAAACAAGTCTGATCCATGGAGGCCTCACCTCACATCTTACAGGACTTAAAGGATCTGCTACTGATGGCACACCTTCATAGGTCTAGTGGAGTCCATGCTTCAACGGGTCAGGGCTATTTTGGTTGCAAAAGGGGTGACCTACTCAATATTAAGCGGGTGGTCCTAATGTTATGGCTGATTATGTATATGTGTGTGTATATATATTTATTTTCTGTATACAAGGACACTATAACTTTTGTTAAAACCAGAGTGTCTGGTTCTTCTTACAGAACAAAATCTTCATATACCGGGGGAAGGAATACGAACGCCTGGAGGATTTCAACCTTTGGCTACTGACTCAATTCCCTAATGCCGAGAAGCTGTCCATCAGTTCCCCGCCGGGGGAGGAGTTTAGAAATTCTCCCAAGCAATGTATCCAGTACAGGAATTACATAGTTCTAGCCAAGGATTCATTTTTATTTACTGAACATAAGTATTTCATTGACATTTTCTTTTTATTAGTTTCAATCCAGGTCATGTTGTTTTTATGTTAAATACATACATAGCAGCTGAAATGTAAAATATAATGGATGTGCTTAGGTGGGCCTACAGGTGTAAGAGAGCTCACAAAGTCCCATTGATCATAGCAGGGTGGGGGAACCATGAGAGTATCTGCATTCCTTCACAAAGATCTTGGAAGGCAAAACATTTCCTAACATGTTACACAATTGTTTATTTGGCTAATTTCAGCATTTAGACCTTCTATGAAGCCTGCAGTACAACTTCAAAAGGCCACCACATTTAACACTGTCTTCTTATATTTATCTCCCCTGGTTCCCCCTTTTCCCCATCCCCATGCTAATTGATAAATATAATCTTTCCTTTTTCATTACATACCCTATTTTGGACACAGTCCTAGAGTACACCTACATGTGATGGTGAGCCCCTATAACTGAAAGAACTGAAATCCAGCCCGGAAATTTGATGGGCCCTATCTGTCTTGCTGCAGCTTCTAATGCATGTTGTGAAAAGCTCACAGGGTACGGTAATATTGTAGTCCGGGAGAGGAGCCTGTACAACTGTGCAAGACTAAAGGGAAGGCCAGAGTTCAACTTTAAACCTTTCTCTACTGCCTGCAGTTTTGGCTGCTGTTTGGGCACTTTGCCTGATTTAGGGTTCTGTCAAGAGATGCAGGAGGCAGAATCTGGCCCTGAATGAGGCCCCTGGAGATGTGTTCACATTGGTTCAATGGTCTCTTGCACTAAAGTGTGATTACATTACAGTGATGCATATTTCGTAGTAATTATTTAGTATGATGACCAGAAACATGTGCTTGATTTTGTAGCCACAGCTTCTAAAACTCTAGTTCTTAAAACTCAACCTATATATCGTCTGCTGTGGAAAATATAAAAACAAATTCATGGCACTGCATAGCAGCCGGTCACAAATCCTTTGAAGGGGCAATCATCTTCCTGTTCTTAAGACTAGCTGTATGTTTTCCGTGTGACCCCGATCCACTCTGCCGCCCCACACAACTACCTTCTATGTCTCTGTTATCCTTAACTATACCATGAAGATGTGCAATGTTTCAGTGTGAAACCCCTGATGAACCTCCCACCGCGGTACAAGGACAAGCTGGTACCGGAGCAGATTCTCAGGTAATCTTGCAAAGTTACAAGAAGGCTCTTATGGTCTCAGTCCAGATTTTGTGACGTCACTTGGGGCTCTCTGTTCAAGCTGTGTGACATGCTTCTTAATTCATGTATTTCGTCTTTCCTTTCTTCAGCTATTATCGGTTTAATGAGATGCAAAGTTTTTCTTATTCCCGACCCTTCAGGAGAGGCGAGAAGGACCCAGATAATGAATTTGCAGTGAGTATATTCATATTTTGATAATGATTGCTCCATACCTCCTTTTGTGTTAGTAGTGGTCATCTCAGGACATCCACCAAGCCACTAGACTCCATGGACAAGCCCAACAAATGCATGCCAGCTGGAATACAGGCTATGGAAACACTGGACACTACAAGATGCAAAGGCTTTCTGGTGCTTGGTAGTTTGGACAGCTAAAATATACACTGCCTGGCCAAAATAAAAAGTCACCTGCTGGATGTAGCTAAGCAAATAGGACAGAGACTTCCCAGTGGTGGAGCTAAGGAACAAAGGGCCCTGGTGCAAGATTTTTTTTTTGTGCCCCCTCCCCCCCATAAACCCACAAACACAGCACTCTCCTTTCGCAGCGCTCGGCCGGCTGTCACTTTCTCTCCTACCCGCTGGGATACAGAGCAGCGCCCAGCGGGGAGAAAAGAAAGCAGGGATGTGCCGCTGTTTTGGCAGAAAGATTGCACTTTCGGCATTATGCCAAAAGTGCCATTTCTGGCCAATATGTTTTGGCGGCCGATATATCGGTGCAACCCTAATATTTAAAGCAATGCAGAATGACACATGATATAGAGGACTACACATCCCAGCAATACTTTATATAACAATAGCATTTCTGTATAAAGTACTGCTGAGATTTGTAGTCCTCAGCAGGCGATTGCTTGTAAGTCATACAGCAATCGCCTGCTGTTAAAAGCGGTACCAAGAGCGCGGTTGCCGAAGCAGCCGTGTTCTTGTTTTAACCACTTCCACGGTCTATAGACGTACTGCGACCCAGAAGTGGTTAAAGTGACATTAAAGTCAATTTTTTGTATCCCTCCTCCCAATGTTAAACAGAGCCTGAGGCTCTGTGAATGCAACACTGGATGGAAATAAATGTTGTGACATTGTATAAGCTAATCGAAACAATGCCACGGCGAATGCGTGTCGTAATCAAAGCTAAAGATCCAATGAAATATTAGGGTGTGTGATTTTGGCCAGGCAGTGTATATATGTCTGCATCTGAGGTTTGCTGTGTAGTGTCATGAGGGCAAGGGTGGGCATATTGTAACTATAGCGAAAGATAAGAGTGGCCTAAATGTCCATTTCAAGGCAAAAAGATTGCGGATAAAGACGGATAGTACTTTTTGGTTGCTGTTGAGGATACCTCCATATTTCCATTCTTCTAACTTATGACTTCTGATGTTTTATGATTATTATGTTTCTTCATAATTAATATTCCACAAGTATGACATTTATCAGAGTATTCAGCTAACATACATGTGATGTTCTTTGTCCCACAGACGATGTGGATAGAGAGGACGACATTCAGCACAGCCTATAAACTGCCTGGCATCCTGAAATGGTTTGAAGTCAAACAGTTTCACACTGTAAGTCAGCAATGTGTACATATGCCATGTGCATCATATAAAATAATGCCATCCACAACTCTGCCCCCCGGCTTTATCTCAAACCTTGTCTCAAAGTATCACCCTAACCGTCCCCTCCACTCTTCCCAAGACCTCCTGCTTTCCAGCTCCCTCTTCAACTCCTCCCATGCTCACCTCCAGGACTTCACTAGAGTCTCTCCTCTGGAACTCTTTACCCCAACATCTAATATCCCTAACAATCTAAGATCCCTTAAGACTCATCTCTTCAGGGAAGCCTATTGCACCTCAACCGAACCACTCAACTATCACGTTCTCAAACAATTCATCCCCACACAGCTACCTCCTCATGTATCACTTCCCCCTCTCTCTTAGATTGTAAGCCCTCAGGGGCAGGACCCTCCTCACCATCTTGTCTTGAATTGCATTGTGATTGTAATGTCTTCCTTATATTGTACAGCGTTGCGCAAACTGTTGGCACTATATAAATCCTGTATAATAATAAAGTATATAATAGTATAAAGAAAGAGGGGGACCTACATTATAACCCTGTGCTGCAGCCCATAACAATAACAGATTTTAATTTACTATTGGGAGAGTAAAATGTAGTCTTCAGAATACTTGGAGCCAGTGTGTGACTCTGCAGCTGTCACATGCTGGCTCCTATAGATCGAGAGCTGAGCGATCATGAACCGTGGATCGCTCAGCTCTTGGCCTTCTCCCTGCAAAAAGCACTGACTGTCAGTAACAGCTCCCCACAGGGATTCGCCTTCCCTCTCTGTTCCTCCTGTGCTCATGGGAGGGACAGACAGAGGAAGGGGCGGGCACAACTGGCTGTGGCTCTAGAGAGGCTGAGCCAGCTGTCGGCCACTGAGGATCTTTCCAGACTGCAGCGTGGCTCCATGCTGTCAGCAAATAACAGGCAGTAGCCCGGCAGATGCTGACTTTGGGTCACAGGAGTACATTAGTAAATGTACTCCTGTGACCCAAAAGAAGACTAAAGCCAAAAAAAGGTTTGGCTTTAGTTCTCTTTTAATCCCATTCAGGGAAACGGTTATTATGATTGGTTACTCTGCATATCTGCACCTTATTATAAGCCCAGTGTCCCATCCTACTATGATGTCATTATTTATGATGTTTATAAATGTGGTAAGAGGCTCCAGACAAAGTGCCAATAACACAATTGTGTTACTGTGTGTGTCACTTGGTGAGTAAAGTTTAAGAATATTTGCATCCATTAAAGGAGAACTATGAGGCGAGTGCTTTTCACTCACCTCATAGTTCTAGCCGACCTGTGACAATGAGACTGTCACAGGTTGGCTCAGTAGATTGGGAGGTGAGCGAACACATACCGGCGTTCGCTCACCTCTCGATCCTGTCATGGCTCTCTGCCGTTACAGGGTAGGGGCTGGATTCCCCCTCCCCGCTCCGATCCGCCAGCGCTGACTGGCGGAACGGACGGGGGAGGGGGCGGTACAGCTGGCTCTGCCTCTAGATAGGCAGAACCAGCTGTCAGTCACGCAGCTGGGCGGATCCCGGCACAATTGTCGGGATCCGCTTCAGCTGCGGCGTCTCAGTATACTGCGAGCAGCAGCTTGCGGTATACTGCGGCGTCTCTGAATACCGCGGTATACTGAGCCTAGGGTGACGGGAGGACGCTAGTTTGTGTCCTCCCGTTACCCTAAGGAGAACTATGGGGAAAAGCCTTAACCCCATAGTTCTCCTTTAAGGAGATCTCCCTCCATTTATATCCTATACACCCAACAGCAAGCAAAAATATATATTTTCCAAAATGAGAACACATTTCCCTATTGGAAGATTCCTCACTATTCCAGTTATTGCTTGACCTGCTGCCTAAGGAACTGGAAGTTGTTAGTATATCTTTTTATATAAAAACAGATCAGTGTCCTACAACCTCGCAACACTCTCTCATTTTCTGGACATGTGCAATTTGACCTCTTACCTTTGCTCATAGTGTCTGAGTTATTCTGCAGTCTGCAAGAGTTCTACGGTTGCACGGGGAAAAAGGGTTGAACTTGGGTTCACTTGTCAAAGAAAATTGAAAGCTCCTTTAAGTATAAATATATTTCTTCTTGTATTCTAGGAAGAGATTAGTCCACTGCAGAATGCAATCGAGACAATGGAGCTGACCAATGAAAAGATAAGTCACCAGGTCCAGCAGCACCGGGCTGACCCCAGCCTCTCACTTCACCCTCTCTCAATGCTGCTCAGTGGTATTGTTGACCCAGCAGTCATGGGAGGATTCTCTAACTATGAAAAGGTGAGGTAATAATATGTCCTGAAAAAAGGGCTGCTGTATGACTACTGCAATTTTGTTTGTCTTTCTGTCACTATATAGTATCCTTTTTATTTGTGTCTCCTTATGTCCAAGTCTCCATTTTGTTCCTTTTTATTCTGTTCTCAGGCTTTCTTCACCGAACGCTACCAACAGGAAAATCCCTCAGACCAGGACAAGATTGAGCTGCTCAAACAGCTAATTGCTTTGCAGGTTGGTGCTTTATCCTCCATTATTAACAATATTATTCCAAGGCTTTGTGCTGAGGCCCACAAGAGCTCTGGAACCCTACCAATGTAGCATGATATTCCACATTTATCAGTTACTGCATGTCTATGGTACCCATCTTGTGTAGTCCATTCCTTGTGTGTTTTAGTAATTGTTCTTCTCTGTCTTTGACTGCTAATTCTATTAGATGCCACTCCTGGCTCAAGCAATCAGAATACATGGGGAAAAGCTAACCGAAAATCTACGGCCTCTTCATGACCGGCTGGTGTCTTGTTTCCGAGATTTGAAGGGGAAAGTGGAGAAATTGTATGGGACCATAACACTGGTTAGTTGGCCAAGTAACTTTAGCTATGAGAGTGTCCCAAATCTCTAAGATAAGACTGATCCCTAATCCCAGTTTTCATTGTTCTCCCACAGCCCTCCAGTTTGACAGATCGGAAGCTGAGCCGAGCTGGCTCTGTAGTGGTTCCATATATCACATCGGCCACACTAAGAAGATTGTCCACAGTTTCCTCTTCTTCTTCAGGAAGTGGTAGCTCTAGACCAGGATCAGAAGGGTAGGTAGTCTCTCATCCTTTACTGTTTTCCACAGGAATTGAAAGAATAACCCACATGGAAACGGTTGTATTGATGTCTGTTAATACTATACAATGATATATTTATCTTATCTTCAGGTCCATTCCCGAACCTGTTCCTCCTCGTCGTGGATCCCTTATTTCACGACTAGATGAGCATGGTGACCGGGAGGATGGAGACAACCGACTAAGTAAACTGAAGCATAATGTGAGCCATTCACAGTTAATCATTGAGCGCACTAAGGAGAGGGAGGTAGGGACATATATACTTTGCATGTATGGGGTGGACCAGGAGAAAGAATGCATGGCTTCCATTTTTTAATGCTAGTCTTCTATTACATTGTGCAGGTGAAGACACAAACCCTTCCTGCCAAATCCCAGCGGCCTAAGAGCCTACAGCTCACAGATGGACGTCTGTCCCTTCACACAGGTTCGCTAGGCCAAGGGGCAACACCATTGACTCCTTCCCCAATTACTCCTAAAACGCCGCGAACCCATAGTAAGTAGATGATTTTATGTTCCAGGTTCCTTTTCTCCTATTGTGCAATGTATAAAAGATAAAGGAAGCTAAGTTCTCATGTGAAGAAGTTTTTCCAATACACAAATTTTACTTAGCTCTTCCAATAACCATTGAAAAAGTGGAGGAAGTAAAAATGATGTAAGTGATGTGGCATTCTGTCTTTCCAGGTTTCCCATCTCTCTCTATCCATGGTGATATGACCGCACAGATAATGGGATCTCCTCCACCTCCACCTCCTAAAAGCAGATCCAATGAAGGCAACCAGCGACTGTCCACAGAGGTACGTGAATGTCTCCTTGCAGCTCACTTTGTCATTTTAGCCCTCATTCACACGGGTCCGGCCGGCCCGTTCAGATCCGTGCTATGTGCAGGGCCCTATCAGGCAGCTCCCGGGGAGGATAGGCTGCTGCATGTAATCACACTCGGCACCTGTCCTTCCTAGGAGCGGCCCGATACGGCCGTGCGCGCAGCACGGATCTATACGGGCCGGCCGTTACCCGTGTGAATGAGGGCTTCCCCTTCAAACATCCTGACTTTGAGTGTCTCCACCAGATTGCTCCTGCAATGCCAAGACGCGATGAAGGAAAGCCACCAACCCCACCTCCAAAAGCTAGGAAATCGAGTGTAATCCATGAACCTGCACTTTGATCTTCCAAGAACTTGTTAGACCATTTATTAAAAAGGGAAGACTGGAGAACTTGTGAATTCATCTAGCCAAGACTTCGAAGACTAGATGACTATCCATCTACTAGCTAACCAGTACACCTTTTAAAGACCTGTATCTGCATGGACACACTCCATAAAAGTACACATGGAGCAGTAGCAGGTGATCTGGTTACTGGTCTCCAAAGGATATTACTCCTCAAGAGAGGTACAGATGGACCAGAGAGACCCTGGCAACAGCATTCAGAGCACTCCTCAAAGCATTTAAGTAGAGGAACATATGTCTAAATGTTCATAGCTAAATTGCATTATGTATATACAGATATCAGATTTATTTGAAATGGAACACATCAAACCACTGTTGATCTCCTTTATGCCTTTTAGCCCACTGCTTTAAGACTCAATCAATGGGGAAGGTTGAATGAAACTGCTGTAGGTATAAGTTGTAGGCACTTTAAGTTGACTTCACATACCAGCAACAGCCTCCAAATCCTTCCTGCCACAGCCAAATTTCAAGTGAAGATGCCCATCATAGTGATAGGCCAATCGGAATGTGTGTAGGGGGTGACCCTAGGCAGCAAGCGATGGTACTACTTAGTGTGAATGCTTTGCCTGCCTGAATGGGAGGTTTGGAAGGTTTTTGCAGATATGTGCAGGCACCCTCTAGGCACATAATACCTGCAGCAGTTTTGTTTTTTTCTTCTCCCATGGAAAAGTCTCTTTAAAAGGGTTTTTGTCTTTCAGTAAAAAAAAAAATGGGGAAATTGTTTCAGTGGGAAAGTAATACCCAACTGCCCTTTGGCATCTTCTCATTCCAGCTCTGTACGGCAATATCTGTCTGTCTTAATAACTATGCATGCCCATTCTCCCCAAAAACCTGAATCGGCTCAGAAACCCAAAGAAATGAGCTGATCTTCATGATTCCTTTTGGTTATTACTTACCCATTGGAGAGAATTTTCATCTTTTTGAAGCGGAAAGGCCCCTTTTATTATTTTTTTTTTTTATATATGCCTCTCATGCCTAAATGTTTTTATTACTCTTGTACAATGTAGAATTCAAGAAGAGAAACTTAAATACATGTAAATAGTTCTATCCGAGATGACTATGCATTTGTAAGGATTGTTATGTACATTTAAAAGGCCAGTAAATCGAAAATATAAGATATTTTATATGAAAAAGCTACTAATTTCAGTCACAAATATACATGAAAATCCTTGTATAGAACCTGAGATATATATGTTCTACTCTTTGTGTGTATTGTGTGCTCTGTGGTCTATTAATTTAAAGTGGAACTTAAGTCAAAACTTTTAGGACAACCGGTGGAAGCTTTAGAGCCTTTTTCATGGTTTTATTGTCCACATTAACCACTTGAAGTCCGTGGTGTTACACCCCCTTCCCATCCAGGCCATTTTTCAGTATTCAGCGCTGCGGTACTTTGACATTTATTCCGTCATGCAACGCTGTACTGAAATGAATTTTATACTGAAATGAATTTTATACCCTTTTTTGGGGACAGATAGAGCTTTCTTTTGGTGGTATTTAATCACCACTGGGGTTATTTATTTTTTAATATATTAAGGAAAAATTACGGAAAATTAAAAAAAAAAACAGTTCCCCCTATATTAAATTCTAAAACATTTATTATTACCCACTTTTTTTGTAAAATATAAAAGACGGGGTCGCGTCGGGTAAAAAGACACCAAACATGTCAAGCCTTAAAATTGCGCATGCGCGCGAAACCTCAAAAAACTACATTACCCAAAATTAACCATAGGCGACACTTTAAAAGCTTTTACCGCTCATCAGTTTAGTGTTATCAGTGATTGATGGCCAAATGATTGCTCTCACTACGACGTTTGTGACGATATGTAACATGTGTAGCGCAATTGTAGTTTTTGCGCGCTAAGTTTCCAATGCAGCGGGACACATTCCAACACAGTCACTGCAGAAACAATGTAACTCGCATGTTCACAGAAATTCATACAAAGAACCTACAGGATCCATTGCAGCACTTTGTTTGTGGACCATGGGATATACTTCTGCCTACAGGCACAGAAACTGGGGGCCTGCTCCTAGTGTCCCATCCTCCTGTATGTGGCAGTATTACCCATTCATAAATATCAAAGTGTTATATGACTCAATTGAGAAAGGGATTTAAAGGATCATTACAAAAATCCCTTTTTTTTTTTTTTTAAACAGAAAAATGAAACCGATTTGGTACTATGAAGTTTACACTCTGCTGCCAACGATCTGGTGGTGATAAAATAGACATGACACAGTGTGGTCTTAGCTTCTGCTTTATTGAATAATTTCTTATGATAAGCTATTGCCAACATCAAATCTTCTTCCTGGCGTTATCACCCTCCAGCCAGTTCATCTGCAAAACATACATAGAGAGTTACATCCATGAAGTGTTTTCTAGGACATCTCATTATGAATCAGTCACCCCGCCTGCTAGGAATGAATGTAGTGATCTCACTTAAGGTGCCTTGGCAAAACGTGATTGTTGCTTCAGGTGCCGTTTAAAGACCACACCACCTGATAAAACCACCTTTGGCCTTTCCTCATCCAAAAGGCAAAATATTGACAAACGTTTGAGGAAATTAAAACTTCCACGTTTTCTCACCGCATCGGGCTACATGAGCTATAGCAAAATGTGTATATACAGGTGAAACTCGAATAATTAGAATATTGTGCAAAAGTAATTGCAGTAAGTGCTGCAAAAGGGGCCCAAACCAAGTACTGAGTACATATGCATGCTTGTACTTTTCAGAGGTCCGATATTGTTCTATGTACAATCCTTGTTTTATTGATTGCATGTAATAATCTACTTTTTTGAGGTTGTGGATTTGGGGTTCTTGGGGTTTTCATGAGCTGTAAGCCATAATCATCACACTTATGACAAATCACGGCTTGAACTATCTTGCTTTGCATGTAATGAGTCTATCTCATATATTAGTTTCACCTTTTAAGTTGCATTAGTGAAATAAATGAACTTTGCACGATATTCTACTTATTCGAGTTTCACCTGTATGTTCTGCCCCCAATTGTTCTCTAAATAACAAGAATGGTCCATGCTCTGCCCCCCAGCTTTTTTTTTCCTATCTCTAAAGAACCAGTATAGCCAATACTCCACACCCAACATTTCTCTGTTCTGCCAGCAACTTTCCTATAAAGAACATGTATGGTCCATACTCTGCATTCAACTCTTCTCCAGAGAACAAGTATGGTACATGCTCCACCATCAACTTTTCTCTTAACAAGTATGGTACATGTTCTGCCACCAACTTTCCTCTAAAGAACAAGTATGGTACATAATCTGCATCCAACGTTTCTCCAGAAAACAAGTATGCTCCGCCCCTAACTTTTCTCTAAAGAACAGGTATGGTCCATGCTCCATCTAAACAATAAGTATGGTCCATGCTCTGCCCCAGCTGCTGGTGTAAGCAAAATATAACACTGTACCTCCATGTAGCAGAATTCCAGTTTTGTGCTTTTTCCCCCCAATACAATATAATCTAAAACATGCTTTGGGATGAGTTCTAGCCATGGAAAATAATGGCCAGTCTGCCCTATCTCTGTCTTTGCCTTGGCTCATGTGTTGGGCAAACTTCCACTCCAAACAGAACCTTTGAGAAGTTGGGGCTGACTGGTGCAAACCACCCTGATAGATTCCCTCAGTTTGCTAAGTGAGCAGTTACAGACTTTGGTTGTTATTTCCCTGCGTGAGCTAGTTACAACAATAGCTAGCAGAAACTGTGAAAGATTAGCCCTGGTTTTTTTTCCCGGGTCCTGTTTGTGTGCCAATGGTGCTGCCAGCCCTAGATCTACAAGAAGCTAGAGTTTGCATACATATTTGAAATCATCTGTGACAACCACACTTACCAAAGCCTCTCTGACAAGGCTGAGCCTGTTCTGTGGGATGGAGCATTCCAAGTGTTGAGGTTCCATGAATGAGACTTCATTTGGCACCTTAAATGGAGAAATGACATTGGATTTCATTTCATATTTTCTGGACCTAATCTGGGCTGTGGGTATAATGCAGTAATTAGTGACTGACTGCAATAAACTTATATCTTGTTGTCGTGGTTTACTGGAACACTTAACGACTGATCTTTTCATTGCTGTACTGAATGACTTGGAGTTCCAAGAAGGGTGACTAAAGGCATCAAACATCAACTGGGGATCTGACTCATTGAGATCACTGCCCAACCTAATAGTGACGTGAGAGAAATATAGGAACTGCCATTAATGATCTCCTTCTTGAGATGAGTGGTGGTGGTTATACTTTACCTCCTGGCTTTAATAGGCCCTTAGTCACTTAACTGAACAGGATTACTGTCCAGGAAAGTCCTTATCTGCATACCTGCCCATTTACTCAAACTATTGAAGTGTGACAGAATGACAGTCAGGCAACTACCATTTTTATAAGGAGAACTTCTATGGTGGCCTCCATAGTTTTCTACAGCCAGGTTTCTTATAAAGATGCAACATGTTGGTTAAAGTGGTTGCTTCATTTTCAAGAGAGAAATTAAAACAGACTGACTGAGTTTCTTAGGCCTGTGTTGTAGAGCACGGTAGTGTGTTGCATTGCCAAAAGTGGTGGAAGTCTGATTTTTTATATGTTAGGGTGTGTTGGCACTGAAAAAACCTAAATGGGCCCTTAAAGTTGCCTGATGATTGGCGACAGTTTTGAAAATACTTTGTAAAAGCTCTTCAGTGTACAAAAGCCTGTATGTACAGGGCCCCAGAGCAGTGGTCATCAAACTATGGCCCATTAAACCAACATGCAGGCCTTTCTCATTGCAAGCCAGAGGAAGCTATGGAATGTACAGTAGCAGCGGGTGATGGGCACTGAAAGGAAGAGTGTTCCCTGCACCTGGCAAAGTATCTGAAGCATTGGGGAACATACTAGTCATCTCCTGCCTGATGGCACCTGTATAGTCCTGGTTGGGACATCATCCAGTAGCAGCATGGGACATGAACTCTACATGGAGGTAAGAACCACTTAATAGCAATGGTCCTGGTTGTGACATCATCCAGTATCATCGTGGAAAGTGAACTCTATATGGAGGTAAGTGCCACTTAACATCAATGGTGGGAGGAGAGGGATTTGTTCCAAACTCTTTGCCCCCCAGTGATGGGAACTTTACCTACCAGTGACATAGGGACATTTATTACTTCAGCTGCTGTAGGGGCATTTTCTTGCCTCTGACTGAACTCTGACATCAGGACATATTTTGCTCCTACTGGCCATAGTGCAGCTCACAAACAGCCTGATGGGCAGTTAACTGGCTCTTTGTAAAGGTTGAGTTCTGCTGCCCAGGAGTAAAGCTAGGGTTACACTAACAATGAAATCTCTTTGCTACTGAGAGATATAACTACTCCTTGGCAGTTGGGGCAGACTTTAATGTGCTGCTAAGAAGATGACTGCCAAAAGGTAGTCAAATATCTTGGTAGCAAGAAGATTTAATTGCCATAGAATTTTGATGCTCTGGTATGGTTACTCTTTGAGATTTATATCCTCCCAGGACAGAGATTGAGTTGACTTGTGATATATTATTTAACCCTTAATATTGTTACCTCTGAATAGGAATCCTGGAGACTTTCAACTTCCCGTTTTCCACCTGGCCGTAGTCCATAAGACCAATGCTGAGCTTGACTCATATGAGAAGACAACAGGAGGGCAATGACGAGGAGTACACCTACTGTTCCATGAGGGCTCATACTACACAAAACAAAGGGAACAGCTTATATGTAGAAGGCACCTTCTGCAAAAGACATCCTTCTTGACATGTGTTCCTACTGGTGGCATTGCTGCAGCATCATCCACAAGAAGTATAGTCTAAAGGTGCCCATACACTGCACGATTATCGTACGATAATCGTATGCGATCGGTTTTTCGTACGATAATCGAGCAGTGTGAACGGAGACGTGCGACCGTTTCTACTGTACGGTCGCACGTCTTCTGTCGAACCAGCATGTTCGAAAACCAGCCGGGAATCGTACGATTCTCGGCTGGTTAGAACGGTGCTCGGAAGACAAATGCCGAGCGGGCCGGTGTGCGCACGCGCACACTGCCCGTTCAGCATTGCGGTGATCGAGAGTGCGATCTGCCTGTCCAAGATAGGCAGATCGTACGTTTTTTTTAATCCCTGTACAACCATCGCAAGACTAAAGTCTTGCGATGGTTGTAGAGTGTATGGCCACCTTTAGGCTGATCTTAGACAACAGACGTCAGGTGGACATTAATGCACAAAATGACCATTGACCCAAAATAACCAATGTCCATTGTCTCCTGCTTGGTGGGTCTATAGACACATGCTCTATGACATAAGCATGTTTAGGACCGGGGACAACCTCATAAGGAAAATAAATTGCGTATTTAGGTAAGTAAAATTGGCATGATAGTGACAACTTTGGCACACCAAACAAAATTTCGCCCACCTGAAAATGTATTTTTCACAATGAAAGAACAAACTCGTACCAAGCAATATAACTGGTTGATCCCATCTGCAAAGCTAACCCCAGCCTCTCCCTTGACCCAACCCCTACATAATCCTTACTCCTAAAATGAAATCCATAAACTAAATCCTTCAGCCTGAAAAGAATGCTTAGTTGTGAACATCACACCAACACCTATTATCAGATTGATTCTAATACCGATATCTTTCATATAAGTGAATCCCAGTTTATAAGCCAGTCCATAATCCCCTCTAAGACAGTCGGCACCAAGACAAGCGTCCCCATTAGAAGAGTTCTCCTCTGTTCCTGTTCTGGTGAAAACTGTGACATTTTGTATTTCCTAGCAAAACAGATGACAAACGCACTCATCAATTCGTCACCACACGGAATGGGCTTTAAACAGTAAAATATCAAAAAGTTTTCCTGGCACACTCACAAGCTAGCATGTAAAAAAACTTGTCTCACACTAAGGTTAAAACCAGAGGTTTGGATACACGTCTTCTGCTGAAAATGTGAAAGCCGCACAGTCGCGCCTAGGCACCTCTTATAGTGCGGTCCTAACTGTAAACTATCAGAGCCTCCATCTTGGAGCACATGGGGCAGAAGATAAAATTGGGTGCAGGTTTGTCAGGAGGAAGCCCAACCCCCTTAAAGGCACAGAGACGCACAAGGGATCTAGCTTGTGAGTGTGCCAGGAAAACTTTTTGCTATTTTACTGTTTAAAGCCCATTCCGTGTGCACCTTACTGTAAAGCTGGTGACGAATTGATGTGTGTTTGTCATCTGTTTTGGTGCAGTGATGCATGGCTGTGCGGCTTTAACATTTTCTGCAGAAGACGTGTATCCAAACCTCTGTTTTTAACCTTAGTGTGAGAAAAGTTTTTTTACATGCTGACTTGTGAGTGTGCCAGGAAAACTTTTTGTTATTTTGTATTTCCTATCACATTCTTTGACGATGGTTAGCAGGACGAATAGAGAAAGTGATTGTCCGCAGCAGATACAGACAGCAATAAAAATCTGACAGTGGTCAATTCAAACGCTAAAATCGTATTAGTACCTACCTCAGTTTTCAAGTCCTGAGACCTATTGATGGCTGCATACATATGGTTATTGCCGAGTCACTTTCCAGCCTGCATGTCTAGTGAATTGGGATGAGCTCAAGTTTGGACCGAACCCGGTCTGACCCTGAGCTCCTCTGGATCCAGAAAAAGCTCCTCCTGGGCAGGGAAGGAATCTCCCACGGGGCCAAGCTTCAGTATCTTGCTAGTCGGCCCCGCTGGCTCTCAAAACACCTGAACAATCTGATTGGATGCCGGCATTGGTCAGGTGTTTTGAGAGCCAGCGGGGCCGACTATTAAGATACTGAAGCTTGGCCCAGCGGGAGATTCCTCCATCCACACAGTTTAGCGTAGATGGAGGAATCTGTTGCACTTTTTCCATCTGACCATAGAAAGTCTGCAGATAATCTATAGGTGTATAGCCAGCTTTAGGTTGTTGTTAGACAACAGAGGTAAGGTGGACATGCATGCACAAAATGACCATCGACCCAAAATGTCCAATGAGCGCTTGGTGCTTGGTGAATGACATCAGCATAAGCATACGGTGTCTTTAAAAACGTGCAGCTGCGAGGTGGGGAATTCCCGACCCACAGCTGAGCTGATTGAGTGGAAGTGCACAAGGCACTTCCTTGTTTAGAGGAGCTCAGGTTAGGACCGAACCCAGTCCTAACTTGAGCTCATCCTTACCAGTGAATATCTTGATGTAAATCTTTGCATCCACCCTTACTCATTCCCTGTATGTTTTCACAATGTCTTGTATACAATGACAATAGGTATCCTATCTTATATGGATACAATGTACTGGTGGCAAAAAAAAGTATGCCGTCATGGGTATGGGCCAGGAAAGGAAATGCCAGTAGGTATTTGCCATTTCCTTGGTGCCATCATGAAACCATAAGCAGTCACAGGGCTTTGTAGACACAACTTGTTCCACATTTGTGTTATAATATCCATTAGATTTAGCCACTGTTCACATCTGTGCACCAGGGGGTGTGTAAAAATTGTGTGTTCCGCAGTGCACATAAACATGCTGTGGTGTTATTCATGCTTTATGGCACCCCAAAAGTGACTGCCAAAGCACGTGTATTGTAAAATGCCAAAACCCCAACATACGTTTAAAAAAAAAAAAAAGATGCACACACTTTATTGGGGTGACTGTGGTGCATTGGGCAGCTCATTCACATGAATGGCTTCCGAATTGCTGCGCACCTTAACGTGCGTAAAATGTGCACACCCGGCATGCTATTGCACATACACAGGTGGGAACCAGGGCTTAGCCTTTCCATTACTAGGATGCCAGATTTGCCAAAATGTGTGTCCTGATCTACAAACATATACTCTACTAGTGCTCAGCCTACTACACTTGTGCTCATGGTCTCCCCTATAGTCTCATGAAGTGTGTTACCTGTCCGGCAGGAATGGCTGCTCTCCTCTGCGGTCGGGTCAGTTGGCACTTAGCAGATATTGTGATGTCTCCTATTTATGTATCAGAACAAACACGTCTCTCGCAGTGTGGGGTTGTACAATGACAGTGTAAGTACACAGCACCCTGCTGCTTAATCTGGATAAAGTCAGCAGCGGGGGAGAAATTATACATCCATTAGCCAACTCTTGTCATCGGAACTTGATGTCTAACGTGTCACAAGCTGTATTTGAAATAAGATTCATATGTGTATTGGGGTCCATTCAGATCTGTGCGTTGCGGTACCACGCAGTAAAATGTGCATTTGACCACAAGGCAGGTCCTCAGTGCTATTCATTTAGAAAGGCAACTCAATGCACAACTACGGTAGTGGGCAACGTACATGCCGTGCATTGTTTTGTGCTGCATTCATAAAATGTCCTTTTTTCACGCATTAAGGTGTATTGTCAGCAATTCAAATAAATGGGCTGCTGTAAAGTAGTGCACCTTAATGCATTAACTCAATGCATAGTGTCTTTCTTGCTTTGCCTTAAAGCTGAACTCCGGGATCAGCAGATATTGTCTATTCTTCTAGAACCTTGGTGAGCTTTGTGTATTTCTCCCAGATCTGTGCAGTAATCCAGTGTGAGACTTGGAGCTTCCTGTAATAAAGACCAGTCACTGAATTAGCCCGGCTTCCTAAATGCCCGGGAAGTCGGCTCCATGCTACGGGAAATACCGAAATATAAATATTCGTGCTCGATACCGAAAAACGCCTATGCGCGCATCCCTACTTTATAAAAGGTCATGTGATATAACTGGAAGTCTTGCTACTTTCTCCAACTGTCCTGTTCTTGCAAAACAAATCTTTATTGTGTAAAAAAAAGAAAAATGCAGCATAAGTGGACAGTATTTTCTGGGGTGCCATTTATAATAGGTGCTGCGCAAAACACACACAGGCAGCCGGTGATCTGTCAGCTGACAGTACAGATAGCAAGCACAATGTACAGAGCCATTCAGTGCCACTGTACCTTGTGATCACCGTCAACCAATCACAGCCATCACAAGTATAAGCACTGCCTGTCATTACAAGCATTCAGCTTAGTCACAACACAAAGGAGGAAGAGGAGTGGGGGGATTTAAAGGGTCATTGACCAAATGATTGTGGGTTCATTATTATTATTTTTTTTTAAAGGTGTGTGTGCG